TATACATATACATATACATAGTATACATATACATATACATATACATTCGTTTCCTAGAAAGTTGAGGTCAAGATGGCTTGGACCCTTTGAAGTGTTAGAAACCTTTCCTCATGGGGCTGTAGTAATTAGGGATTTCAATAATAATAAGATTTTTAAAGTTAATGGGCATAGATTGAAAATATATCATGAAGGTGAACAGGTTGCTACCATAGAGGAAATCCTCTTGGAGGAAATTTGAGGTCAAAGGAAGCAAGAAAGTCTGGCCAGGACTCTCAAACGCGGTTACTGGGAGGCATTCCAGCATAAAAAAATTCAGGCATTTTAGTTACTTTTACATTTGCTTTCATATACTATTGTTTATGTCTCTGCATCATTCCATTTAGTGTTAAGATCATTTTTTTTCTATTTTTAGTAGTTCATTCTCATTTAAATAGCCCTCAGGACAGTGCAGGAACTAAGTGTGGGGGATGCAAATGGCCCTTTGCATTTTAAGCTAAAGATTTTTACACAGTTTTAAGAAATTGGACATTAAGAAATTACACAGTGCAGGTACTTCATTGAATAATTCAGCTCGGGCCTAGGGACATTTAGCCGCATTGCCTGTGCAACGACGCATGCCTTAATGTAGGATTTAGCCTAGTTGTGCACCATGTTCGGCCAAACAACGCTTGAGTAAGTAAGTGATGACTTCCTAAATTGATTACTAATTCCTTTTCTTTTTCTTTTTATTAACTACTCTACCTAACTCTAGTTGATTTTTTCATCCTTAAGGAACTTATTCAAACACACTTCTTCTTTTCTTAAAGACCTTGAAAGAATAGTTTCATTTCAATGTCATTTGGGACTGATCTTTGGTTATGTTACTGACTAGGGACAAGATTACTTTTAAATCGGGGAGCAATCTAAATGATTTAACAAATTTGGCTTGAATAACTCTTCTAATTAAATGTTTGAACAAATCTCTCTTAAGTTAGTTGTTGGGCTATTCTTGTTAGAACTTTGAGGAAAATAAGATGTCAAATTGAGCCAATACTAAGCTTTGATAAGGTTCAGCACCTCCAGTAGTTCAAATTTGCGAGAAACAGTGTAAGAAAAGGTTGTTTTATCTACTTTGCACGAGGGCATGCAAGAGCCTAAGTGTGGGGGTATTTGTTGAGTCCAAAAGATTCTTTACTTAATCTCCACTAAATTAGTATTTTGATGAATTAAAAGGTGCATTTTTACACTTAAATGATCACATTTGCATTCTAGGCATTAGTTATAAAAATTTTCATTATGCACATTTTTAGTTTATTTTTAGTACGGAGTATTATTTTTGTGGATCCAAACTTTTCCTTGACTAAGCTTATTAGATACATTTTTTGGAGCTTAAAGTGGGCTGGAGCCAAGCCCAAACATATTCTTTCCAGCCCTTTTCTCAAATCACATGCCAAACACTTCTAAGCCACAATTGAGAAACACGAAGATAGCAAAGAGAGAGGGAAGTCTACACGAGAATGAACTGAAGTCCTTCGCCATCTCAAGCTCGGCAACGCAGTAATTGGAGCCGAAGAAACCGCAGACACCTGGATTCTTCAGCTGCGGCAGGAGTCTTAATCCGAGGAGGAGTTCTTGAATTTCGCGCCTATAAATCGAAGGGGATGTGGCGAAGTACACCACCACCATCAAGAGCATAAATCAAGGCTACAAACAAAGGGTAAGAACCCTAGGGGGGTTCGGTTATAGCAACCAAAACCTCCTTTAGTTTCTAGTGTTTTTTTACAAATTTTAAAGATGTTTGATTTCATGTTCTGTTGTTTTAAGTTCCATTTGGTTTCAGTTTTTATGTTAAGATTTTGGTTGTTAATTTTGTTTTGATACTCTTAGAGTTTAACTTCAAAGTTATGGGAAAGAATTTTTTAAGTTTGGGTAGCGTATTAGCAGTTTAAGTGAGTTCAATGCATTACTTTAAGGGAGTGCTGTTCATTCCATTACTTTAAGGATGTAACGTTCAGTGGATTGCTCGTAGAGTTATGTTCAGTGCATTACTTCAAATTTTAGGGTTGGTTTTTACCTTGGAGAATATGGAGGAATTTCAAATTTGATTAAAACTCTTTTAAATTCACATGATATTTTTTAATTCATTAAATCATGCGAATTTTCTTTCCTTCAAATTTGTTTTTCCAAAAGTAGAGAACCTGTCAGCAAGCATAACATCAGGAGGAAGGAACAGTGTCACTCCCTTAGACCTGGCCTTCTGAATGAGGGACGTGGCTAGGTCAACCTTGTGTAGAATGCGTCAATTGTAGCTATGTCCAACAGAAGTGCCTGCAATAGGGAAACTAAAAAATTAATGTGTTGTGGACTTTTTTATTTTTTTCTTTCCTTCAAAGATACATCGATGCCATTGCTAGCCAGGTAAGATAACAAACACAAGAGAACTGTGAAGACATTTGAAAATGGATCAAATATCAAGTACAAAGGAAAGAGAGGATAAAACCAAAGCCCTCAAAAGTGAAAAAAGATAAAACTAAATAGAGGCCTAACAATATCCCCCCCCCCCAAAACAAAGTGTATGCAAATATGAAAACTCAGAGTCAAGTAAAAAGATTCAACTCAACTAAAAAATAACACCCACTATTCTGCGGTTGATACGAATCTAGACTCTCGGAATTCTAGAAAATAGATTGATGGCACTTAAAACAAGGAATATGCTGAGCGTGAAGGTGCCTTCCCAGGATTTGGTTTGATAGCACAGAAAGAATATTCTAATGGCCCGTCATTATATTGATGCGAGAACGAACATGTAGTTTATATTCAAGGATGAAATCACGTACCCAAAAATTATCACAAAAATAAAATGTGTTTTTAGTCCAGTTGCCTAGAAATCTACTTCATTTTTGTAGTAAGTTTGTGCACCAACAGGGAAGCCAAAGGCCTCAGTAGCAGCGACGCATGCTTCACGCCGTGTCAACCAACCTGTTCCAGCGCCAATACGGAAGTCTGCCTCTTTCAAGTGGTCTGATAAGGCTGCTATACACAGGCCTGGACTTTCAGTTCCTGAGATCAATGTATTGGGAAGGAAATGCCCAAATGTTAAGCCTACAAACCACCTCAGGAGATTGCTTCTTTAGTTGTGTTTTAAATTTTCAATTAGCTAACTTTGTGCTTGTATTACTGATTGGCATGAATGCTTTTTATTAAGCCTAGAAACCACCTCAGAAGCTTGCGTCTTTACTTGTGTTTTAAATTTTCAATTACCTTACTTTGTGTTTGTATTACTGATTGGCCTGAACGCTTTTTATTTAATAGGGCTATGCCCCGGTTGTTTTGTATGGACTCGAGGTGATGATGATTATTTACATGTTACCTCCTGATAATAGGGGTGCAACCATTGGATTATGGTTTAATAATACCCAACTACGTTGAAAGTAAAGGTGAAAGTTAAGGAACGGTTACCTTCAGATCACGTTCTATGGAATTCTGCCACTGTTGGGATGTTGAGAAGCTCTTTGAAGCAATTGTTAATCTACCACAGCATTTCAGTTTTCAGTCATAATTTGAAGGTTTTTCTTTGATACCATGTATCTTTTTATGCTGGATAAATGGGAAAAGGGTTAGGTACCCTTGAAGAAATATGCTTTTCCTGTTAGAATATATGGGACTTTAGTGTCCCCAATTTGGTAAAACACATTTAGGAGTTTGGTGTCCCCATACCCCTATTTGGGTAATGTCATTCGTTGTTCCAACAAGTAAGACACAACTAAGAATCAGACTCATGTGTATACATGGAAACATACGTGAAATTATAGTAGATGAACAAATGGCCGCCACCTAGAAAAAACCAGACCCAAATCCCAAGCTCAATCTAAAATGTACCCATAACCATACCAAAAAACCAGGAAAAACAAAAAAGGCAAACCCCAGCGCAGGATATACCTTAAAACAAGCCCCAAACTAAGAATCAAAACCCCAACCTAGAACCTATGTTTAAAAAACCCAAAACCAATCCAATAACGTATCCGGAATAAAAACAGTCCTAAAACCAGGTACTATAAATTTGGTTTAGGAAACAACTTCGTACCTAACAGTAATAACAAAAACATGTTTAGGAAATAGATTTCCACATATGTTGGAAGGTCAGGGTTGTTCTCTATTATTGAAACTCTATTACTGCATCAAAAATCAACACCTAATGAGTAGCAAAGTTAATTTCAGTGGTCATTGTAGGACTGAAATCAGATGTTGAATACATGATCATGGGCATCGGTAAAATGGTGAAAAGGGGCTTGTTTTTTCACTATCTTCGATGGCCAATTACAGAAACTTTCATTAAAAAAATGTGAGAAATTGTTTGAGAAAAATGGTCTTAGAATGTAGGAGTTTAAATGATTTTACTGAGTAACATTATTGGAAATAGGTTGTGCTTAGAATTTGGTGTACTTTTATTAAAAAGTACTGATTGAATAAGAATGTATTGGGAATGAAATTAATACTAAATTTACTTTAAAAACACATTACAGTCTGAAATGTAAAAATCTTTTTTGAATAACCACTCAGAACAATGAAAAGAAAGACGTAAAATTTAGGGAACAATCAATACTGTGAAAAAACAAACAATAGAAGACTTTACAAAAAATTGGTACTAAAAATTGGTCCAATGTAATTGGTGTAATGAAATTGGAGGGGTTGCAGGATGCCTCGCGCCTGGGCCCGCCACGAGGGATTTATCGGAGGAGGGGTAGGCAGGACAGGAACAATCAATCAAGAGATCAGATCAGCACAGGAACAATCAATAAACCGATCAGATCGCGACAGGAAGAATGAATAAAGAGATGAGATAGCTATAAGTGCTCTAATTCATTTACATAAGCTGTTTTTCCATTGCCTCGCCACCAAAAAAACTTGCAGTAGGTACTAAGAGGACAAAATCAAATATCACGTGAGAGAGCTTAATAAACACAAAAGTACTCATACCAAGTTCAACATTACCGAAGGGCAAAATTTGGACCACCATGCTTAAAAGAATCAGCAGCAGTGCATTTACCTATTCCAAATCCCACAAAATATAAATAAGTATTAAAAGAATGAATATGTGACATTAAGCCGCGTGGAGAATCAAGACCAACCATTGTCAGTGGGGTTTAGCATGGGAAATAGAGGTCGTCTAGTGGAATCAGAATCCCGTGTGGCCCATTTCAACTCGTGCCTTCACGAAAATAGAGAAACAAGACACCTTGGCTCAAATACAGGAATACAGACAAAATAAACAGAATATCATAAACAAATGCACACAGACATGAAGCACATATACGCACACTAACAAAATGTTTTTTCTTTATCCAAAACAGGTTGTCCGGGTCTGAAATCTGAATAGTACTGAAATATGTTGGTATCAATAAGAAAATTAAAATAGATGTTGTTTCCTAGACATACCTGAAGAAGCAATTCATATTTAGAGTTAAATAAGAAAAGACTGAAGGCTCTGTGAAGCACATTCTTAGAGTAGCAGCATACCCCAGAAACAGGTACATATCATTGGTTTGATTTACATAAGCTGTTTTTCCATTGCATCGCCACAAAAAAGGGGAAAAAATTGCGGCAGTTACTAAGAAAACAAAATCAAATATCACATGAGAGAAGCTTTATAAACAGAAAAGTACTGTATCAAGAATAATTAAAAGAAGATACACAGGTGGTACAGTTATGCCATAGAGTGACTTGTATTCCCACAACCAACTCCAAGAGTCTGCATAAGCAAGTGGCATAAAATAATCCTTTGCTTTTGCAGCTACAATCTTCATCCTGTAAAGATGTGGAAGAGAATTATTTTGGTTTCAGGAAACAATAATTTATCTATTCAAAATAAGAAGGAAAATTTTTTGTATGCTTCCCTATCCCTACAAGGAATTACTTGAATTCATACTATTAGTCCAAAGGTGATACCTTATTGGATTCGATTGCTCTCTCAGACATGATCCGCCTTCGATGTTAGTCTTTGGTTTCAAAGACAAAGTCACTGCCAAGGTATAAGGTGGCCTTTCACAAGAGTGTATTCAGACTTCTAGTGTGAATGCATCTTCCCTTTAGGCTGATCTAATGACTTGCCCTCCAATTAAGACCAACACAAACCTAAAACAGAGTAAAAAAACCAAAGACACAACTACTAATTCAACATTCAAAATCAGCATCATTCATAAATTCTACAGTGTCAATAGAACAAACTTTCCTACATCAGTAACGAAACCTATTCAGACACTTCAAAGATCATCATCACTGAATTTTAAATCAAGCACGAGTAATATATGTGTGCATATAAAATTCAATTGTCCATATACGTGTGCATATAAAATTCAAGACATTAGCTTTGAACTTTTATATGTGTGCATATAAAAACAACTTTACAAACCAATTTTTTAAGTAAAATTTAATTGTAAGCACTCTAAAAGTGAAGGCCATAGAACATAAAAATTGTCCCACATCAAGAACCATACCTTTAATTAGCAAATAGATCCCAAAATTCAAATTGGGAAGCCATGTGACGAGTGAGCCTTTGTGATATATGGTCTGTGTAAATATGATACAGAGTAAAAATGGAATAATAATAATACTCAGGTACTTTTTTAAATCTAAATCAATAGTAAATAGAGCTCATGAATCAAATATTTGAATTGGAAAATTATGATCTAATGATTTATAAATCTAAAAATAAGATATGAAAATGTTTAAAATAGAATGAAGAAAAATCAAGGGTACTGTCTTGTTTTCTATCCATATCGTGAGCCACTCCTATTGCCCATGAACCCGTTTTCGTTAAATCTAAAAATAAGATATGAAAAGTTTTAAAATAGAATGAAGAAAATTCAAAGCTACTGTCTTGTTTTCAATCCAGATCGTGAGCCACTCCCATTGCCCATGAACCCGTTTTCGTTACCCAAATCTCTGCCATCTTAGAGAAGGGTCATCGTTGCCACAATAGTCACCATCACCTGATCGAGAGAGGTTGCTGTTGCATTTCTCGAATCTCATGTCTATACTTTTTGCTGTCGCTGTCATCATCGGCTCGCTACAAAAAAAAGAGAATCGCCGCGGTCTGAGGCATCGCTGCACAATAAGCCAACCACCGAAGCTGGTCGTAGTAGCCAAGCGCAGCGGGCTTTAGTTTTGATCGGGAAAGCTTAGGTCTTGGTAAGAGTAATTGGATGGTTATTGAAATTAATTTTGAATAAAATTGCACCAGCCCTATTTAAATTACTTAAATGTGGGAACTTGTTAAATTTTGATAACCACATGTAGAGGTGTGGAAAAGTTTAAGTACTACTTAATTTACTTGCTCCACTTGTCTATGTGCGGCAAAATAAGTGTGGTAAAATACACTTTTTCTTGTAGTGTAAACAAAAACATGAGAAAGGAGGAGAAAGAAACATTTCACTCTTGTGTGCAATTTATGATTATTACTCTCATATAAAGTCACTTGGTTTTTCATCTTGTAGCACATATTTTTTCATGCTCCAAGACTAAAGAACAATCTCCACAACAGGACCAAGAGAAAGGAAAAAAAGAAGCTCGTACTTTATATTTATAAACAACAGGGGATTGGGGAACGATTAAAATGAGCATACATCAAAACTAAATACACAACATTAGTGCTTTTTGGCAAGACATTCGAAATATGTAAATCATTGCCAGAATCAAAGTTGAGATTCTACAGGATTCAAAAGAGAACTAAACAAAGTAAGAAAAACTTCTTACTTTGAAAAGTAAATATCAGACAAATAAAAGACTTCTTTAGAGGAAAAGATCATACAGTTACTCTAAATATCCCTATATAACATGTCAAAAAGTAGTAGAGATAAATGTCTTACAGATATAACTCTCTTCTAAAATAGATATCAACCAAGCCATTATACATTCATCTACATACACTTCTAAATAACATTGACTCAACTAAATAACATCCTAGTATCATTCCAACTCCGTTGGGGATTATGGGGTCAAGATGCACACAACTAATCCCGAGGCAATTTCCATTACACCTGTGATGCATTGCTGCATTTACCTTTCAAAACTTCATTGAAAGTATGAAATATGGGAAGTCTAATGTGTCATTTTGATAAGCTACAACATAGCTGAAATTGACTATTTTATCTCCATTGGCAAGTGAACAAACGCAATAGTAAATGACTGTCTTTTTTTCCACATTATCAAACTTATTATTATAAAATTCATAATATTGAAAATATTTGATGTTGGTAGGCTAATTTATCATTCTGGAATTGAAAAAATTTCAAAAATATTATTTTACTTAAAGGAAAATTAAATCTAAATAATGAATTAAAGCCATAGTACCTTTTTAACTGGGCCTAGGGTTTGAATCGATCGTATCTAATAGATGCCGAGATTCAAAAGCATTCCGGAGATGATGAAGCATGGCAAGCGAGAAAGAGAGAGAATTCGCAGCAGTGTACCTTATTTCGGAGATGATGAAGCAGGGCGAGCGAGCGATCGTCAATCCAAATTCGCACCCTAAGTCATCGTCCTAAACAGGGCCTAGGGTTTAAAGCCCTTGGCCGGCGACGATCCTGTGGAAGCCAGCCACTTATTCATAGGCATCGTCAGTCACCTTCATCGTTTATTAATGGAAGACGTGGATGAGAGGAAAGAAATACGGAGTATGAAAAAGATGACAGGGGTGTGGAAAGAGATATGAACGGCGACATGCAGGGGGGAGCTAGAAAATTAATAGGGTGGGGGCGAAAAAAATAAAAACAAAACTAAATAAAACGATAAATATTGTTAATATTAAAATTCATAACATAACAAATCATATTATCTCAAGTCTACAGAATCATTCTTCTAGCCTTCGTTGCTTGAAAATATTGTAGGATGTCTTCAATTAAAATATTTAAAAAAAATATTTAAAATTTGTCAATTAAAATATCTAAAAAAAATATGGGATATTATTTGAAGTTTTGAACTAACTACGCAGTACCTAATATGAGAAAACAAAAAAATCTAGGAGAAAACAAAAAAATTCTAACCCTAGTTTTTTTTGTTCTCTCTAACAGTCTAACCTAGTTTTCTTTTTGTACGAGTGCCTTATATGAGTGCCTAATATGAGAACAAAAAAATTGATCAAAAACTATTTTTTGTTTTACCAATAGTACGAGTGACTAACATGAGAAAACAAAAAAAAATTAATGAAGAAGATGAAAACCAATTGCACACAAAAGAATTGAGGAAAATAAGATTAATTTGCTAATTTGAAAAAACCACAATAAAATTTAGGTTAAATGGTAATCCATTGCTGATTTAAAAAATTAGAGAAAAAACCTGATAAAAAGAATCGTCGCACTTGCCGCACTTCGTCGTCGGCCAGTTCCTGTAAGGGTCTCCGTCTCTGCACACTGCACTTCGCACAATTTGAAGAAAGATTTTAGGAATTGAAGATTGAGTGGGGATTTGGGAATAGATTGAAGAATTGAGTGGGTTTAATTGGGTGGGATTTGCCGATTTGGGAAGGAGAAGGGAATTGGCTCACGGGTGGAAAAGAGAATTGAAATTGCTGCCTGACTTCTGGTGTTGTACATGAATGGACAGGTGACAGGGCAGATTTTTTTTTGTAAAAAGCTAAAACGACGTCGTTTTGGATTTGGGGAAAAATTTTAGTGCCTGCAATTGAAGTCATTTGCTCCTTAGCTCCGCCACTGGCGACCTGGGTGAAAAAGATGAGGCGTGCTCTTGATATTTCAACAGCTTGGATTTTTTTTGGAGCTTCAACGGCTTGGATTTGTCTGTTTTTTTTTTCAATTGAAATTCGACTATTAAATGTGCGACGTGGATTTGTCCAATCCTTCTAAACTAAAATTGGACCATTGATTAATAATTAGGGCGGAAAAATTGGATTACAATTTTTTATTCTTCTTTTATATACTTCGTATATAATAGATAATAGATAGAGGAGCTAGAAGTAACGGCGTAAGGATAATTTGCGATTGAAAAGCCTGCATACAACATAAGAAGCTATAGGTACATTTTTTTGTACGGAAAAACTACAAATTAATTTGAGGACACCTAACTATTGTAGACATTTATAAGATATGTAAGATATTATATATGTGTGTGTGTGTGTGTAGATATATATATACATACATATATATATATATATATATATATATATATATATATATATATATATCTGTATATATATATACATATATATATATATATATATGTATGTATGTATGTATATATATATATATGTATATATATATATATATGTATATATATATACATATATATATACACACACACACACATATATATATATAGTAACTTTGATAGCATTTATTTTATATATTACTACATGTCAACGAAAATGTGACTCAAATTGTAGACATCAAAAAAATATGAAAAAAATAACCATAAACATTATCTGTCCAAAAAATCATATGGATGGACTTTATAAATATAAAAATAATAATGTGAAAAAATGAATTTGGTCTGAATATTTCATCATTCATGTCAGCAAATCGGGAAATATAAGTTTATACATGTATGGTATAAATAAACTTTTCAAAAATAAATAATACTGAAAATAAAAATTTTAAATGAATAGATCTTTAAAATTTAAAATTAATTTTTAAATAAATACCACAATTTTGGAAGGCATGATGAAAATATATAATTTTCCTTGAAAAGTTTTTAAAACCCCTTTAGAATTGACATGTAAATACACTTTACTTTATAAATTGATTCCTTGAAAATATTCTCATAATCTTCTTTATTCTTTAATAGGAGACAAAGATTCGTGCATATTTTAATAAACGAGAAGAGAAAATCTTAAAAATGAAATCAAAGAAGGTGGCATCTTTTGCCATTAGAAATGTGTTCGTCATGATAATTGTAACTTGGTAATCGTAAAATTTAAAACATTTCAAATACTTTTATTCATCATAAATATTGTTTAATACTTAACTGTAGCAAAATACAGAATGTTTCACAATAATGCGGAAGCAATTTAAACCATGTTTAATAACAACACAATTATTTATTTTAAAATCACAAATTCCACCACGATAATCTCGCCCCTTCTGCTGCCAGGAACATGCCAATCATTCATTCTGTCTACCTGCGTGTAGCAAATAAAACATACTACACGCTCAGCGATGAAGCTGAGTAAGCATATCTAAAGCGTCGAACATCCACATAAATTGAATCTCAATTCACAAA